CGTGTAGCTTTGCGCGAAATTCCAAAAACAAACAAACAAACTTACCTGAACATTTTTAAATTATTGTTTTATGCTTTTACTGATATATTCTGAAAATGCCTAAAAAGACATCACAAGGTTATGAAAAATATATATTTTTGCATGATTTTACAATATAAGTAACAATTCTAGCCAGAAAATGTAAAAAATAAATAAAACATTCGCAATCTGTGGAAGATGTCTGCGTATTTGACAATACAGACCTCCCTCTTTAACTAATATTGTAATATCAACACTCTGGTAAAAAGTACATTTAACACGACGATGAAAAAGAAATAATGTGATTACTGCAAGCATTATATTTTTTCATATCTGCCTTTTGTTTCTTCAATAAATACTTATGTGAAATCACCATGTTACTGCTCTTCGAGGTTTTGTCGAATACAACATCTTACATTTTAAATATTTGTTGGATTGAGAGTAGAACAAAAATAACACTCAGTCATCATTTTGTTTTGTTGTTGTCTTCTTTGGACATTTTGGATAGTACAAAAAATGATAACACTCAGTCATCATCTTGCTTTGTTGTTGTGTTCGTTAGACTCAAAACTACAATGGATTATATGCGCTGTTCCCACCACATAGATCGAACCCCAAAGTTTAGCGTTATGAGACCTCAGGTTTACTGCTGAGCCATTGGGTAGGAGGAATTAGCCATCTAAGAGAAAAAAAGGGAGAATATTTCTTCGAAAAAAAATATAAATCTTTTTTAATATAAACTTCGCGTCTATAGGTGTAAAATCGAAATGAATCCTAAGGCTAGCCCTAATAAACTAAATCATAAGCTCAACGTGCAAGGAATAGAGGATTACGACTATCAGCCTGTGAGAAAAATTAATTGCATCTTATAATGTTTGTCCTCCAAATGCTGCTACGCTGATGTGTCACAATATTGTTTGTTCGTTTTAGAGCAAAGACACATTGGGCTATCTTCTGTGTCCACTATGGAGAATCGAACCTCGAATTTTAGCATTGTAACTTTGTAAGCTTTGACACCATGGCATGGGCGATATGTATATAAATCTATACTTATAAAGCTATTGAATACATTAGATGTAAATAGGCGATTTAGTAGATTGAAGGCTAATGTTGCGAAAAAGAATCTTCCAACCCAAGATAAAAAAACTGGGATTTGAAACTGGCAAAGGCTCACCTGCCAAATCTATAAAAGATTCCGTCTACAACTCAAAGTTTACGACTGTTTCTATGCCAAAAAACGGCCAAAATATTGACTTACAGTAATAAAAGTCGACCAACTATGTATAACATTTACCGATACAGTAGTATTATACGGTGAATTATTTGTGGAACGTTTGTCAAGATGTTTGTGCAACACTGAGCTTGTCGTTCATCTACTTTCAAAACAAACTGCGGTGTCAGGAACTGTTTGGTAATGGAAGAAATAATCTGAATGGTCATGCAACATATGGAATGTCGTCCTTATAAAATGAGATTAAATCTTGATATTAAACATGTACGTCATGTTAAAATGATGATTTTGGAGCCTCCACCGCGTATTGAGAGTTCATGTTTCCTCTTCCGGTCATGATGTAGCTGACGACTGTGCAACTTGGAAAAGGCTCTGCAGCGTAATTTACATTGCAGAAAGCTATGTCATAAAGTTGTTACGTCCAAATTACACCATTTCCCCTCTTGCTTTACATAATCCATCTAGTATTTGAGAACGACGTTTTCCCAACCCCTATTTGAACAGTTTATCGAACAGAAATTTACAGATGACTTGACTGGTATGTCTTTATATGGAATAGCAGGATTACCGATTCATTCTCCAGCTGTTGTAGGTATGCTACGGTTGAATTAGAGCTATGATTGGAAATCTTATCTTGGTGACCTCATTCCATGTTATCCTCATTTCATATTTCGAGAGGGAGATCTTTGTTGGTTATGTTGCGTACTGTTGTCCGAGGTACGTAAACGGCTTTAGCTATTGACCTTTGTGCTCGTGAATTCTTAACTCTTCTTAAGACACCACACTTTGTTTACGATTTGGGGGTTCGACTTGTTACAGGTCTATTTCTCGATGTTCCTTGTGCCTCAAGTCATCTTTTTCCAATGACATTAAGTACAAGTGGTATCCCCGTACTGAAAATCTTAAATCCCTGATCTGAACACATATTTAGGATCTGAGTGTATGAATATTTTACGTTGAAAAGGACTATTACATACCCTCCCAAAACCAATCAATTTTGGGCGGCATCACACTATCCACAAACGCCAAATAATATCAAAATATACTTCTTATACATGCCGTTCCACCGCGACTTTACATACGATGTGATTGCTACGTAACATACTGAAAAGTTAAATTAGACACTTTAGTGACGTTTATGCTTCTTTGTTGTAAAGCGCAAAGTTACACAATGGGCTATGTGTATTGTGCCCAATATAACTATTGAAACCAGGTTTTATTTTAGTGTTAACCCTCAGACTTACCTTTGAGCCACTAGGAGCGCATTCATGCAAGTTCACGTTTTTTTTTATTGTTTTTGTTTTGCGTATTCTTATCAAGGCATCAATAAAGTAAAATGTATGTTTAGAAAGACTAAGTACTGTTCTAATTAGATCTATAAGTAGGTAAAACGCACAGGAAGGCTGTCACTAGATATATTCTGTTTCAGTGAGGTTTTGTTTTTTCTGTAACATCGCCGCTAAATAATATTGTGATCTTTAAAAGCTCGAAATACAATTAAATTAAAGAAACGACTGCAACATGTCTCCACTACTCAATCCCAACGTGACTAATTTTGACACCATAAAAATCAAAAACTGTCTATATCACTGGTTGGAACCTGCAAGAATATATGGTTGAAATACACTTGAATAGTTCACAAAAACCCTAAATTGTGCTTTCCTTGGTGAAAATTTGAACAAAGGACAAAAAATTCAAAAATTATCTATATCTCTGGTGGCACATCGGCATGTGTTATGATTTACAACGTTAGATACCAGCTTTCAATACCCATGGTGGGCAGAGTACAGATAGCCCATTGTGAAGGTTTGTACTTAACTAGAAATGAACTAATTATATCTCTGTTTGGGACCTATTAAAAAGTATCTTTGTATCCATGTATATTGACCAAAACACGGCGGAGTAATTGTAAATGAAAAAAAAACATCAAATTATTTTTTTACGGCATTATTAAAGATTTGCAAGTCCACCACTTTTGTTTGTAAATGTGTGGAACCTGTAGAAAAGTATATCTGTACCAAATCCCATGTAAAATGATCGAAACAGGGCTAAGTAATTGACCCCCCCCCCGAAAAAAATATGTTTTTGATGGGTTCTGATCCCTCTAATAACACTCAAAATAGGCAAATCCAATTACTTCTATGTTGGGCGCATGAAAATCTATGTTTGTGCCCATTCTCATCTTGATTGCTGTAAATATGACCCACATGAGTCCAAAATATACATTTTTTGGTTGTTTGATATTTTACCCCCATAAAATCCTTAAAAAAAACACTAAATGAAAAAATCAAAATATTTCTTTGCGTATTAAATAGAACAAGGTATAATCCTACCAAGTTTTAAGTAAATCCGCTCATAAATGAAGGAATGGCGGTCGATTGAAAAGTGTTTCTGAAGAAGAAAGGAGAAGAAAAAATAATAGAAAAACATAATTAAAAAGAACGGTTTTCATTACAGAAATAATTCAATCTGTACTTCAACAATAAAAAGTTCAATTTTTCTATAAATATAAACAAATGTAGTAATACAGGTTCGAACTGTGTTAAATTATTTAAGAAATGCGCACACTATCGAAGAACAGAGACCCGAATCTTTCAGCCTTAATATTATAGCAAACTCTCTAGCTTTCGGTCTAAATTCAATGCGGTTTCCCCGTACTGAAAATCTTAAATCCTTGCTCGGAGTGTATGCTTATTTTACGTCGAAAAGGGTTGTTAGATACCCTCCTCAAACCAATCAGTTTACGGTGGCAACACACTACTTATGAATGCTAAATAATATCAAAATATAATTCTGATACATTCCGTTCTACCGCAACGTTAGAAATGTTGTGCGCTATCTTCCGGCTTTATTTGGTAATAACGATAGTAGCATGAAATCCAAAAACATTACTGTAAGTATAAGAGGCATCCTAAACAATAAAGCACACTAATGGAAAACAGAGTTAAAATAAACAATACTGCCAATTCTGGCTGAATTGATTCTTTTGTCATTTCGTTTTGAATTCTAATTTATCAACTCTTGACTCTGTTAAATCCAACATTAGAGAGCTCGAGCTAACACTTTTGTTAACTAAATGTTACAATACAAGCATCTCACTAGTGTATTGAAAAACACAAACACGATGTCAAATCCAATAAAGAACTCGGACTCTCAACCGTATTAATTGATTAGAATGTAATAAGCACCCAAACACATTTTTTATTCCCCATTTTCTCAATTATAATATACCTATTTCACTTGTATTTATTGAATAGATAACATGCCACTACATGGCTAAATGGCTTGTTCATACAATCTACTTCTAGCTCAATAATATTGTTCCTACCTGTTAATGTGGAAGCTACGTTACTTTTCTCAAGCTTCAAAAGTCTCTGTGTTAGATTTCCCTCTCTGTTCTTTTGAGACGTTCTTAAAACGGTCTGTTCAGGCATCAGTTTTCAACTGTTGCTACCCGCTCGAGAGCAGGTATTAAAGGCTCAAAAACTAGAACTCCACCTAGTAGAGGAAAGAGATACTATTTATTCAGTTATAGATTATCGTAGTGGAAACTCTTCCACGAAATATTTGACCATGGTTTTCCACAGACGTTCGAGAAATTAACATAGTTACTAAAAACACACTATTATCTTTATCGCGCCCATTATGCATGGTGTTTTGATTTTCTCAATACAAAATTAATGAAACACGTTAACGAGAAGCTAGGTTCCTGTATCATTTAGATATATACTTTAGGCTAACTTGTTGTGTATGAAGATGAAACTTTTACAATTAGCTCATTGTAAATCCAAGGTTTATTAAATATGAATCCGTCATTTTAATAACTGAACTTGATTTGGTTGATTACGTAAGACTGATTATTTGGAAAATCTTCATAGAGTTTGATTAATTACAGAATTGAGTCGAACTTAATTGACTTGTATTTGTTTGTTTGTTTGTTATTTTTTAATTTAGCGCAAATCTAAACGATGGCTATCTGCGCTAGCCGTCCCTAATTTAGCAGTGTAAGACTAGAGGGAAGGCAGCTAGTCATCACCACCACCGCCAACTCTTAGGCTACTCTTTTATCAACGAATAGTGGGATTGACCATTACATCTTAACGCTTCCACGGCTGAAAGGGCGAGCATTTTTTTAAACAGAAGAACAGTCGGAAGACATCTCCCTTTGAAGGTATTCTGGTAGTTGAGAGTTCATGTGTTAGAGCTAGATAAAATAAGTAACTATTTACATTGAAGTTGAATGTTACAACTAAGTGAAATACCTAAATACATTGTAGTTGAATGTTAGAACTAGGTAAAATATTTATTTAATTACATTGTAGATGAATGTAATAACACTGTAGTTGATGTTAGAAATAGGTAAAATAGCTAACTAATTATATTGTAGTTAAACGTTAGAACTTGGTGAAATATCTAAGTAGTTACATTGTAATTGAATATTAAACTAGGTGAAATAGATAACTAATTAAATTGTAGTTGAATGTTGGAACTAGATAAAATATCTAACTAATTACATTGTAGTTGACTGTTATAAGTAGGTAACATATCTGACTAATTACATTGTATTAAATGTTAGAACTAGGTGAAATAAATAAGTAATTACATAGTATTTGAATGTTACAATTAGGTAGCTGGATGTTACAACTAGAAAAAATATCTAACTAATCCCAATGTAGATAAGTTGTACAACTAGTTAAAATATCTAACTAATCCCAATGAAGATAAATTGTACAACTAGGTAAAATATCTAACTTATTACACAGTAGTTGAATGTTACAACTAGGTAAAATATCTAACTAATTACATTTTAGTTGAATGTTACAACTAGGTAAAATATCTAACTAATTACATTTTAGTTGAATGTTACAACTAGATAAAATCTCTAACTAATTATAGTGTAGTTGAATGTTAGAAATACGTAAAATATCTAACTTATTAGATTGTAGTTGAATGTTACAACTAGGTCAAATGTCTAACTAATTACATTGTAGTTGAATGTTACAACTAGGTGAAATAATTAAGTTATTACAATGTAGTTGAAAGCTAGAATTCGGTAACATATCTAAATAATTGCATTCTAGTTAAATGTTACTACTAAATAAAATTTTTAACTAATTACATTGTAGTTGAATGTTGGAACTGGATAAAATATCTAGCTAATTTCATTGTAGTTGAATGTTAGAAATAGATAAAATATCTAAGTAATTACATAGTAGTTAAATGTTACAACTAGGAAAAATATCTAACTAATTATAGATAGTTAAATTATAGAACTAAATAAAATGTCAAGCTAATTACATTGTAGTTGAATGTTACAGTTAATTAAAATAACTAATAACATTGTATTTGAATGTTAGAACTAGATACAAAATCTAACTAATTACATTGTAGTTGAATGTTACAACTAGCTGAAACAGTTAAGTAATTAAATTGTAGTTGAATGTTACAACTAGGTGAAATAATTAAATAATTACATTGTAGTTTAATGCTAGAACTAGATATAATATCTAACTAAATACATTAAAGTTGAATATTAGAACTAGGTAAAATGCCTAACTAAATACGTTTTAGTTGAATTTTACAACTAGATAAAATGTCTAAATAATTACATTGGAGTTGAATGCTAGAACTAAATGAAATACTTAATTATGTTACTGATGAATGTTAGAATTAGGTAAAATATGTAATTAATTACATTGTAGTTGAATGTTACAACTAGGTGAAATAATTAAGTTATTACAATGTAGTTGAAAGTTAGAATTCGGGAAAATATCTAACTAATGACAATATAGTTGAATGAAAGATCTCGGTAAAATATCTAAATAATTACATTCTAGTTAAATGTTACAAACTAGATAAAATTTTTAACTAATTACATTGTAGTTGAATGTTGGAACTGGATAAAATATCTAACTAATTTCATTGTAGTTGAATGTTAGAAATAGATAAGATATCTAACTAATTACATTTTAGTTGAAGGTTAAAATTCGGTAAAATATCTAACTTATTACATTGTAGTTGAATGTTACAACTAGGAAAAATATCTAACTAATTACATTGTAGTTGAATGTTAGAACTAAATGAAATACTTAATTATGTTACTGATGAATGTTAGAATTAGGTAAAATATGTAATAATTACACTGTAGTTAAAAGTTAGAATTAGGTGAAATAAATAAGTAATTACATTGTAGTTGAATGTACAATTAGGTAAAATAGCTAACTAATTACATTGTAATTGAATGCTAGAAATAGATAAAATAGCTAACAATTACATTGAAGATGAATGTTAAAAATAGATAAAATATCTAACTAATTACATTTTAGTTGAATGTTACAAGTCAGTAAATATCTAAGTAATTACATAGTAGATAAATCTTAGAACTCGGTAAAATATCTAATAATTACATTGTAGTTGAATGTTAGAATTCGGTAAAATATCTAACTTATTACATTGTAGTTGAATGTTACAACTAGGAAAAATTTCTAATTAATTACATTGTAGTTGGATGATAGAACTCGGTAAAATATCTAACTAATTATATTGTAGTTGAATGTTACATCTAGGAAAAATTTCTAACTAATTATAGATAGTTAAATGTTACAACTAAATAAAATGTCAAGCTAATTACATTGTAGTTGAATGTTACAGCTAACTAAAATAACTAATAACATTGTACTTGAATGTTAGAGCTAGATACAAAATCTAACTAATTACATTGTACTTCAATATTATAACTAGGTTAAATAATCATCTAATTTCATTGTAGTTGAATGTTAGAAATAGCAAAATAATGTTACTAATTACATTGTAGTTGAATGTTACAACTAGCTGAAACAATTAAGTAATTAAATTGTAGTTGAATGTTACAACTAGCTGAAACAATTAAGTAATTAAATTGTAGTTGAATGTTATAACTAGGTGAAATATCTAATTAATCACATTGTAATTGAATGTTACAACTAGATGAAATAATTAAATAATTACATTGTAGTTTAATGTTAGAACTAGGTTAAATATCTAACTAAATACATTATAGTTGAATATTAGAACTAGGTAAAAGGCCTAACTAATTACGTTTTGGTTGAATTTTACAACTAGATAAAATGTCTAAATAATTACATCGGAGTTGAATGCTAGAACTAAATGAAATACTTAATTATGTTACTGATGAATGTTAGAATTAGGAAAAATAGCTAATAATTACATTGTAGTTGAATGCTAGAAATAGATAAAATAGATAACAATTACATTGTAGATGAATGTTAGAAATAGGTAAAAAATCTAACTAATTACATTTTAGTTGAATGTTAAAAATCAGTAAATATCTAAGTAATTACATAGTAGTTAAATGTTAAAACTCGGTAAAATATCTAATAATTACATTGTAGTTGAATGTTACAACTAGGTGAAATAATTAAGTAATTACAAATAGTTGAATGTTACAACTAGGAAAAATATCTAACTAAATACATTGTAGTTGAATGTTAGAACTCGGTAAAATATCTAACTAATTACATTTTAGTTGAACTCGGTAAAATATCTAATAATTACATTGTAGTTGAATGTTAGAAATAGGTAAAATACCTAACTAATTACTTTGTTACGACTAAGTAAAATGTCTAGTTAATAACATTGTAGTTGAAGTTACAACTAGGTGAAATAATTAAGTGAGTACAATATAGTTGAATGTTGATACTAGGTAAAATATCTAACTAATTACATTGTAGTTGAATGCTACAACTAGAAAATCTATCTAACAAATTACATTTTAGTGGAATGTTACAACTAGGTAAAATATCTAACTAATTACATTGTAGTTAAATGTTACAACTTGGTAAAATGTCTAGTTAATTACATTTAGTTAAGTGTTTCAGCTAGGTAAAATATCTAGCTAATTACATTATAGCTGAATGTAAAAACCAGGTGAAATAAGTAAATAATTACATTGTAGTTGAATGTTAAAAATAGGTAAAATATGTTACTAATTACATTGTAGTTAAATGTTAGTTACAACTAGGTAAAAAATCTACCTAATTACATTGCAGTTAAATTTTACAACTAGGTAAAATATCAAACTTACTACATTGTAGTTGAATGTTAGAACTAGGTAAAATATCTACCTAATTACATTGTACTTGGATGTAAAACTAGGTGAAATAAGGAAATAATTACATTGTAGTTGAATGTTAAAAATAGGAAAAATATGTTACTAATTACATTGTAGTTAAATGTTAGTTACAACTAGGTAAAAAATCTACCTAATTACATTGCAGTTAAATTTCACAACTAGGTAAAATATCAAACTTACTACATTGTAGTTGAATGTTAGAACTAGGTAAAATATCTACCTAATTACATTGTAGTTGGATGTAAAAACTAGGTTAAAAGAGTAATTAATTACATTGTAGTTGAATGTTAAAAATA